TGAACTGAAATAATCTGTATTTGAACTTTACTGTAGGCTACTAGTACTCACAAAACATAAACTATTAGTTTTGGGTTTTTTATTTTTTATTAAACTGAATCTTCACTAAAAAAAATAAATAAATAAAATAAACATTAAGGTGCAGCTTTTCGATTCACTGAAATAATCTGTATTTGAACTGTAGCCTACTGTACTAGTTCCTAAGCAGCCAGCTTGACATTAGGACTTGCTTGTCATTGTATTTTCATGTTTTTTTAAAGAAAAATTAACTTGTCCACATTGCTTGCCGAAAGGGCAGATCTGCTGGCACTAACAAAGTCTCCTGCTGTGGAGAACACCCTCTCTAGGGACAGAGGCAGCAGATACAGCCAGGTAGCGCTTTGCTAACATGGCAACATAAGGATATTTGGTGTTTGTAACAGCTTTGGCTCGGTCTGAACTCTCTGCGAGTGGTGGAGGCTTAAATGCTAGTGGGAGTTGGGTTTGCACTTCAGTCTTTTTATCTTTTGGTACCGGTGATATTCACGTTCGGGTGATGCCTTTTCAAGAGTGTGCTAGCTTGATGTATTGCCAGCCGCGTAACCAATTTTAGTTGAACAATGCCGACAAACAGCTTTGGTTCGGTCCACCTGTCTTTGTCCTTCATCCTTGTCCTTGAACGCATCCCTCTGACCAGCTCTCATAGTATGCCTCTCATCCAATTAAATGACTTGCTCGCTCTATGACGCGTTGAACCCAATGTGAGCAAATTACTCTGAATGCTGCGACGCAGCACCTGAGATTACTTCCAAAAAGTTGTTCACGTTCTCAATTTTTTACGTTTAACGTTATATTCGTTCGGTACACTTCGGTACACACCTGTACCGAACCGAAGGGTACGTGTACCGTTACACCCCTAACATACATACATACAAACAAACAGACACACATACATAGACACATACACAGACACACACACACATACACACACACAATCAAGAGAGGGCTTTCTTTCCTGCAGCATTAGTGTTTAATACAAAATAATCTCTAGTGTTCCCCATATATTTTTGTATGTGTAGTAGGGAGAGATTATACTATACATATTCAGTTTCCAGTTTATTAGGTACAACCAGCTACTAGTAACACAGTCTAATACAGTGATGCAATAAATAATACCCTTATGAAGGTTATACATGTTTTTTCTGTAGAAAGAATTTATGTCAACTGATTGGTTATTTTAGAGGCTGAAGTTTCTGGTGCAATGCGAATAGGCGTTTCCTTAAACCCACGTTATGCACAAAACATTAGGTTATTTGATGTGATATGTCACTGATGTATTTTTCAGCAAACATATTTCTGAGATAGCTAAGGCAATTTGGGGTAATAGGTAACGTGTATCTGTTCTTGTCATCAGGTAGAGCAGTCTGAGGATCCAGAAGTAGATGACGTCGCGGTCGGACTTCTGATCAGTGCCAGGTCGACAAATGCCACGCTCTTCTGCCCAGAGAAGATCGCTGTCGTCAGAGAGGGGGACAAAGTTATCGAACTCCCCACACTGGCTGAGGCATTCATCCATCTTTTCGCACTGATCTATGCCCTCCATCTGAGTTACCCGAAAGAGTTGGCAAACACTTTCGACTTCATCCAGAAAGTATTGATGGGCCTGGATGAAGGGAACATGAGGCCCAGGGTATTGAGCCTAAAAAATGAGCTGCTCACATTTTAGTCATCCTATAATATAACACACACACACCCTTGTGGCTGGACGCTGGCATTGTGCCCCACACACACACTCCCTTGTGGCTGGACGCTGGCGTTGTGCCCCACACACACACACACTCTTTAAATCTGAAATATGCATTGTAATATGTGTTACTGTTCAAGTTTGTTTGTTTGTTTGTAAATGTTAAAAAAGGATGGACAACATTTTGATACCTTACAATACATATTTTACACACACACACACACACACACACACACACACACAATGTTCTCTGTTTACATACTGCTGCTTTAAATGTGTTCTATGCATTGTAATGTGTTACTGTTCAAGTTTGTTTGTTTGTAAATGTTAAAGGATGGAAAACATTTTCACATACATTTTGATACCTTACAATACATATTACACACACACACACACACACAGTTCTCTGTTTACATCCTGCACTTTAAATATGTTCATTGAAAACTGTGTTACTGTTGAGCTTCAAGTTGAAGGACTGTTTACCATTATTTTATACTTTTAAGAAAATATATCATAGATATTTGTCAAGGCCTTAGCACTGTTTAATTTATTTTGTATTGAAAAGTTAGTTATTTGCTATAATTTATCTATTGTTTGGTAAAGTTTATGTCAATTAATAAAACAGTAATTTGCATTTAAATTGTCAGTGTTAAAGTGCTTCTTAATGTTTAGTCAAAATGTTAACTTAGGGATTTTGAGTTACAGTTAACAAAACATTTCGATGTAATCGGTTTTAATGTAAAATGTATTCGACATTCCGTTTTGAGTACTACTCAATTGACATTTTTAATTCATATTGGGGTTTAGAGGTAATACAAATATTTAAGTTAAATCTACCTGATTTTCATATCTACTGTGCTCCCAAAATATCTAGTTGAAGAGATATGAAAATGTTTAAGTTAAAGATACTTGATCTTTAAATTATTAGTTTAAATAACTTAATATATCCATGTTTCTTTAACTTAAAACAATATGTTTGTGTCACTTAAAAATTACTAGTAAATAGAACTCAATTGATAAGATTATACTTTAACTTAAAACATTTAAGTTAAGGTACTCGAAAATTTCGATGTAATTGGTTTCAACAAAACGTTTGAGTTCTATTAACTTGTCAGGTTTTACAGTGTGGGAGAGGGATCCCTCCTCTGTTGCTCTCCCTGAGGTTTCTCCCACTTTTTCCCCTTAAACTGTGGGTTTTCTCTGGAAGTTTTTCCTTGTACGATGTGAGGGTCTAAGGATAGAGGGTGTCGTTTTTCTCATACTGATATTCTGAACAATCTGCTGTTGTATTTGCTGTAAAGTGTCTCTAGGCTATTTTTATTATATGTACAGCACTTTGGCTCGACCAAAAATCGTTTATAAATGTGCTATATAAATAAAACTTGATTTGATTTGATATCTTGCTGGTGTTCACTAGTACATCATGTCCAGTTGAAAATAGTCCCCAACAAAAACACAAGTTAATCCTTCCTTAGTTATATTTGCTAAAAACGTAATGTTCCTGCAGTTACTTGGGATATCATATATTTTGTAAAAGATAAACAGGGTGGGACTAAAACATGCAAATGCAGAGTTGAACATTTGGGAGATGGTTTATGGTCATTGGAAAGGCAACCGAACAACAAATATTTGCCAGTGAGGGATATGGTGTGAAGCTTTTCCAGACGCGTGGTGTTGACAGCAAATCAGGTCTTCTCTTTGAGTGCATTTAAGATGTTTATTTGGATTGCAGGATGATGACAGCAAAAGTAGAGCCGGGTGTTTAACTGATAACTAAACAACTAACTGATAAAGAAATAAACTGAAATTAACTCAAAACAAACAGAAAATAAGCGAAAACACGCACGGTTGAAAAACTGTGTGGCCTCCCTCTGGTGATTCCCAATCCCTAATGCTGTGCACCTGTGTCCTCCCTAAATAGTAGGCTGTACCCTGAAATTGGCTGAGTCCCCGCCTATGCCCAGGTCAATTCAGTAGTATCACAGCACCTTCATATACAAATATTAAAATACATCAAATTGGCTGCAACAGTCATTTCATGGCATAACACCAAATAGATAATTGCCAGCTATTATTTAATAATGTGGATGTTCATCTCATCCACATTTTGGATGAACACATGCTTCATATGCACAGAGCAGCAATAATGTACAAAAAATAACTAAAGGGTGCTAAAAGGTCTTTGTCTCCGTTTCTTTATCAACTCTAGATATTTACAGTGTGATTTATTCTGCTAGATTGGTCCTTCTTTAGACTTTGACCTCCATCCATCTGATGCCCTCAATTTCCACCCTGTCCATGGCCCTTTCTCATTTCTCTAACTCCCCTCCTCGACTCCCATCCTCGAGACTTAGTCCCGCCCACAGGAGATGCGAACGGAGGAGTCGAGGAGGAGAGAGGAGGGGAAGCAGCAGGCGGCTAGAGAAATGAGAACTCCTCTCCTCTGAGCGGTCATTTTAAAGAGACGTCCATCAATGATGACAGGAGGCACAGCAGCCCTCTGTCTGATGGACAGATGTGTTCATGACCACTTATATATTTACTTTTAATTCATTCACAGTGCGGTATAATGAGACAATAACAGGCTAGAGATGCGGACACACACACACACACACACACACATACATACATACATACATACATACATACATACATACATACATACATACATACACACACACATACCACCCCCCCCCCCCCCCCCCCCTCCCCCTCTCCCTCTCTGGTCGCTACAATGAGGGAAATAAATTACGGGCCACAAGTTTTATTTACAAGTATTAAAAGTAAGCAGAGGACCAAACCAACTGAGACCTGTCTGTCCGCTGCATCTACGCACTGTACAACACACACACACACACACCTACACACTGTACCACACGCACCTACAGCTCCTAAAGCATATAATCAGGCTACAGCCGTTGTGTATTTTATTATGTGAAGCACTAAATGGTTTTAGAAAAATATCGACTCTTTGTTTGTAGATATCTACTAAACTAAAGCAAATAAAGAGAGTAGGCCTGTTATACTGAGTGATATATATTATACACACTGCTCTGCTTTCTGCATGGACCTCACAGCTGTTCTCTCTGTAAACATCGCGTTGTGATGAGAGCAGTTAATAAAATAATATCCAGGGGATGCATGCAGAGCTGTCATTGGCTGAGATAAGTCCGGCCGTGCGTCACGACTCTTTGAAACATCTCTGTTCCCGGAAATGCATCCACGAAGGAGCCGTGGAGGACCCATCAGTGTATCCTCTGTTATTGCTCCTCCAGAGAGCCTCCTCGACGCTCGATCCTCGGTCCTCGAAGTGCATTTAGAGAAATGAGATGTCCTTCAACATAGCGCACTAAAATTCATTTCCGGGTCACTACCGGAGGACCGAGGAGTCAAGGAGTCGAGGAGGGGGATTTGATTAAATGAGAAAGGGCCCATGTCTTTACCTGATCCCTTCCCTGATCCCTTCCCCGCCCCCACTACGGCGAGCTCAGACAAGAATGCCTGGGTCTGAGAGGGAAGCTGGAACAGGCGCAGCCCCTGAAGAAGCTCTGGTAGACTCCTGTCAATGCTTGAATTGGGGTCAAATGTCACAAGAACAAAACGTTCTGCAGCTCTGCCCAGCTGCTTGTCCGCTTGGATGAGACACAGAGAGGCTGTGAACACATCAGAGTAAGGGGAAGACTTCTGAGGAAAACCCATGTCTTCCCTCTTCATCTTGATAACCCCTTGGTTCTGGTGGGTCCATGTTTTTACTCGCTCTAAGGCTTTGTGGGTCAACACAATCACAATTCGGCCGCCCAGGCTTTTCAGCTCCAGCAGCTGGGAGTACAGCCATGGCAGAGGCCCCAGAGTGCACTGCTCCTTCCTGCTCCACTGGTCCACAGACACGCTGAAGCCCTGGTTAGAGAGCTGTGAGCCGAGCCGACACACTGACTCCGAAACACCGTCATCCACATCTGGGGGGCTCAGCAACACCACATGACACTTCATGCCAACTTTGGAGAAATAAAACAAGAGGATAACTATCAGAGAGTTGTTCCATTCCAACTGAATGACTTTTTAATAAAAAAGTAGTGATATTACAAGAAAATACTTACTCTGTACAAATCCGCCATGATACCAGCTCCACACCCATTCTATGACAGACATAAAGATAGGAGTAAACATATCAGTGGGCTTAGCAGAAATACACCAAAATGTATTTATCATTTCAGTGCCATGCACAACTGATTCAATGTTTGCATAAGCTAGAATCGGAGGGGTGAAAAATGTCCTGGAATTCATCCATATTCATTAAACTTATTGCAAAAAGGAAAAAAAGATTTGAACTTACTCTTCACAAAGTCATGCCGGAGAAGATATGAAGATATTAACACAGTCAAGCAAAGGAGCAGCATGATACCAACAATCAGGAGACTCCAGTGCCACCTGTCAGCTGCAAGTAGTACAAAATAAAACTCTGTTTGTAAAAAGCATGAGGAACATGTGCTGCATTTCAGCTAAATGTGTCCAAACCAGCATCAGTTTGTGTAAGTATTAATGTGTCAGACTCACTGTTTTCAAAACAGAATGGACCCAGCTCCCGATCCATTCCCTTTACCTTCACCTGCACAAATATATTTAAATAAAGTATTTATTCAACGTTGGTAAAGTAATAACATTACTGGGGAGGGAAATTGTGAATACTTTACCATCACACATGGTGAGAGCTTCAGGTTGATTTCTTCAAACACCCCTGTTTTCTTCTAAAGAAGACACAATCATAAATTACTGAGGGGAACAAGTCAAGTATATTTACAGAGCATGTTTATTAATAGAGGCAAATACTCATAAAGATAAGATAAAGACACATAAGATAAGATGGTATTACAATTGCAGTAGACCTTTAACAAGTGGCAGAGACTTCCAGAGACCAGAAGGAGTTCATAAACTGATTTCTGATTCTAGGTATATTGATTCTAACAGAATATTTTGTGTGTATTTAGTGAACATGTAAACAACATAGGAAGGAGCTAAGCTTTTTATAGACTTAAAACCAATAATAAGTATTTTAAAAGATTCTTACCCACTGTCCCTTGCTGTTTTGTTTCCATGTGCCATTTGACAGCTGCTGTCTAAAGCCCTTCATTTCCCTGCAGCTGCTCTCCTTCTTGCAGGGCCACACCTCCCCCTCCAGCCTGCAGGGTGCGGACAGGTTCCACCACAGCATTGGGCGGAGGTTGTTCATCTGACCCGGGCCCACAGACACTGACACATTCTGCCATACGTTCCTTTGGAATACATCTTGAATGGACACATAGTAAACATCAGCGTTTCAGAGCTAAACTGCTCAGTCTTTACCTTGTGATAACAAGACCAGAAAGAAAATGAACTAGAAAAAAAAGACGTCTCACCTGTGTCAGTGAAAGGGCAACTGTGAGAGCGCCTGGACCTCTGCCCATCCACATCCTCATCCCAGACCTAGACACACAGACACACACAAACACGCACAATTATAAAGGTATACAGTGTTGATGTGGTACAGTAGCTATAATAGAACCATGATGTTTACCTGGAGACAAATGCAGGGGGTCACAGAATACAGTGGGATGGTCGTCCTGTTCCATCCCTTCAAAGTAACATTAAACACAACAAGGGTTTTAATATAACTAGACTTACATATTGTTTATTAATGAGATTGAGAAACTAGTGGTTGCAAGTAACTAAAGGAACATTTATTGAATTTATGTCTGTAATTGTTCTGTCCTTCCATCTAATGCCACTGTATGCTACTGCTGAATTACCTACAGAAAGATGATATTGATACATTTAAGTAAACTTCAACTTTGAAGAAAAATGCTAAACATTCACTGGTTCTACTTGGTGTTACTTGTTGTTCTTGTATTTGACTTTAAACTAGATGCATTTGGGTCTTTGTACTGCTGATCGGACAAAACATTGCAAATAGAATTGGTCAACTTGACCTTCTTGAACTCTGCAAAAAACAACAATAACAAAAGAAAAAATTACAGACTGCACAGATAAACAACACTGACCTGACACCTTCCATTCTTCTCATACTGGATGCACACAGAGGGGAAGCTCTTATTCCTGCCATCAAACTGCAGCTCCATCCGATTCATCTCTTTGTTGATAACACTGATAAGCTTGGGCACTGACATGAGGAAATTAAGAAACTAGTTATATTCTGCCAAAACAAATACTCATAAATAGGCACAAGGAAACAAACAACCAGGTATTATGTGGGGAATATTTACCATGGCATTCGTCTGGACGTTCCTGCTGCTCCTGGGTGCAAACTGAAGACAGATAACAATATGTGTCACTAATGGTTTATAATAGTTTAACAAGTGCTTTGTAGTTAAAAGAATAGACTTTACCATCATCTAGAGAAGGAACAGAAACTTCTTGTCTCAGAGGTGAAGCTTTAGGATAAACAATCACACGACTGCTGAAGGAAACCCCAAGTGGCTCAATAATCACCACAGAAATCTAAAGTATAAGAAACATTGAGAGTTTATAAGACAATGTTTACTAGAAGTGAGTAGTTCATACTTTTGATTCAGTACAGGGAGTCTACAGTACCTTTGACTGCTTTTCATGAGAAAGAGCTGCACGGTTAACCGTAAACTCCACCTTCTTGCACATGGACATGGCAGGAGCTGCACAGTAGCATACCGTCACAGACGCTGTTGCAACACAGACAAGATAGGGTTCATGATTCATTGGCACAGTATAAGATAGTAAACATGTAAGACACACCTCTAAAACCACACTTATAAGATCACACTATTGTTTCCTGTTCAAACTATTGCTCCCTGTATCATAGTGTACTCATGGGAATGATTTGTATTGCCACACCATATGGTTTAGCAGTCAGGTTTTCATTTACTCCACTTTATACGAATTGATCAACATGACATTTTAACCATGTAGAATTTCTCCAAGTTAGTTGATCAAGGGTGAAGATAAAGCAAATATGAGTTTCTGTGGTCTGTAAGTCACATTGTACAGCGACTGTGAAACAAAGCACCGTTCATTTCACAATAACCCTGTAATAACAGCTTCCATGTATACTCAAACATTCTTCCAGTAATAATTTCGCAACATCCCACAACCTGAAACAAGGAGAATTGCTCACTGTATACCTCCCCCTGAATAAATAAAGGTTAACATGTTAACATGCTCCTGAGCAGGTGACTGTCACATCTTGGATGTTGTTTTAAATATTTCCTACTGCTAGTCCCCATGTGACAGTAATGTAACTTTGAAAAGACGAGTTCACTGTGATGCCTATTATAGCAGAAAGTACTTGCAAGTTGACTTGAAAATCAAACTATAACAAAACGAATACATTAGTTGATGGTAAGAAAACGTTGAAAACCTGTTATGTACTTTTGGAGACGGGCGGTGGCAACAGAAAGGAATGGATTGTTAAATTGATTAAACAAAACAACCAATAACAAGTTATAGTTGGCAACATGTAGATTATACCTTTAAAATTCCTCTCTGTTTCCTCCCCATCATCCTCTTCTCCATTTCCAGAGTGGCCTTCATCCTCCTGGGCTTCACCCGGATGAATGTTGATCTCTGTTTCTATAATCAGACATAATACACACGGCGCCCTGTCCCTGCAGCAGAGCTTAAAATATGGAGTCAGGTTTTGGACAACCACAGCATTTTCCTCTTGTACATTAAAAGGCATCTCATCCTTCATGGTGCAATTAGAGAGACCCTAAAAAAGTCAAAAATAGAAAGGAAAAAGGAGAAAGACATATGTTTAATATGTGCCATCGGCTTTTTACTGAATGTAATCTGGATGGTAAATATTTACTGTTCAGAGGAATATATTGTGATTGGTGGTCTACATACAATGGCACTATATCTTCACAAGCTGGCAGATGGTTATATCCCTGTGTCTGCTTAATTAAATGTTTGAGAGTAAACACTTTATCAGTGAAAAGGGAAATCAAACTGTCAGAGCAGGCTACACCAGCAGTAAAAGGAAATTAAAAGTGTAATATGTCAACAATAACTCTATGTACTATTCTGCAGTACAGGAAATGTCTGCTTCAATGTTTCCCAGCAGTTCACCCTCCAGTTGTTTACCTCGGAGCAAATGACTCTGTCGCTGTCATATCCAGAAATCTCCAGATGGCAGGCTGATATGTGTAGAGTCAGTAAAACGCACCAAATGGTCCATCCAGTATGAAGCATTTTGACTGAGGACACTCCAATGGAGTCCTACAGTATTTTTCACCAAACATCTCTGTCCAGGAGCAACATCACAACCTTTTTAAACGAGTCCAGTGTCTTCTTCCTCATTGTGACTTTAGGATGCCATTTAACTTTAACATGTTCTTGATCAAACTGCACATCAGCATGAAGGGAATCGAGACGTGGTTAGCTGAGTTTGATTGGTTTCACCTTTAGTCCCAGCCTGAAAAGGAAAAGACAATCCAGGTATGGGCAGGTGTTTCTTCACACGTTTGCAGTGATATAATAATCAAAGACATCATATTCTTCTTTTTCAATAATTTACAAATGGGCTCCATCTGTTTGTGTTTTACAACTAACTTGATGAGTCAAGCTCACAAATCCCTCAATGGACAAAGTTACTGGGAACTCTGTAGTCCTTTTAACACTCCTGTAAACAAACAGGGCTTTGACAGTATATACATGTAACATCAGCAGTAGGAAATAACACAAATCAAAAATCCTCTGGGTTACTTACTGAGTTTAATAAACCACCGAAAGTACGCTCCTCTCCTCAGATTACCTGTACACCTTGTGTTATTTGAGTCATTGTAAAAAGGAATCATGAAGTACGTCACTGTCTTTCTTCAAGGTACGTCCCTCCCTTTCTCCCTCCCTTTTTTCTCTCTTTCCCGCTTTCTCTATCACTCTTGCTCAGTCACAGCACAGTCCTTCACCTTGTTAAAAAGCACATCATATTGAGACTTCCTGCTCTGACTGAATTCCTCATTACACTATAACCAGAACAACATAGACAGCTCAAAGTCCTCAACTACTTTGTTTAAAAAGTAACTCCACCTTGAACACTGAGTTAAAGTAGCTTCATAAACAGAGCTGCTTTTTAACCACAGTTGACACTTCATGTGGTTTGTTGGCAACAATTTGTTACATTTGATTAATTGTTCTTGTTATGTCGGTTTGGCAGAGATCCTTGATTGTGTAATGTAGCTCTCAGTAGACTCTGCCTTGATAAACAAGTTTACCACCTCCGCTCATAATAACCCACATACCTTTGCACTCTAGTGCACCGCGAGAGGACAATCCAAAGTATCACTATAACACGCCTCCCATAGCTGCTCGACTGGTTTGATCACTTAATGTTGAACGAAAGGAAAAAAACGTTGTGGCTTATAACTTTGGAAATGTTTTCAAACCAACAGGGAAAAAATACAAAAACTATAGTTTACTCTGTAAACTCAGGAAGTTACTTTGCTACTGCAAACTAAGTAGAAAAAGTATGTTTATTCAAGCTCTGTGTTGAACTGTGAGGAACATTCACTGAAGCTTTCCAAGAATTTATACATTTAATATGCTATTTACTTTTCAGACTGATATATTTTACTCTTAAACATTGCTGTAGTTAGTCTTGATAAAGAGATAATCCATTGTCTCATACCACATTTGACTGCACTGCTGCTGAGTAAACATTTAGTGCATCAACTATACCCCTACTATCCTTATTTTTGAAGGTTAAGCTCTGAGTGCAAGAACTTGTATTTGTATTATCATGTTTTTTAATATTGTGGTATGGCTAGTGCATGATTTAAATAGTTTATTTTGTCCACACCTTCTTAAGATGTTTGGTGACATTATGCTCTTTATGTAAATGCAGCTGCTGGTGAAAAAAAAAACGGTGTATAAACAGTAGACTCCACTGTTTACACACCGTACTATTTTCTTTTTTTGAGTAGAGGAACCTCTCAGTCTAAACTGTAAGTATGTTTTAGGACCAGCTCTGCTGCTAACTGGGCTTTAAAACCCTGTAGAAAATATGTTTGACCATGAGGCAGTTATTTACATGATGGTTATAGAATAGTTACTCTTTTGAGTAAATAAATCACAGAGAGTGTGTTTGCATAGTCACATCTAACTATAACAATGTCATTGGAATATAAAGTTTGGGCAAAACTTTCTAAAAACGTCCTTCATATAATATACATACATACACAAATACGTTAAAATCAGATTATATATCATATCCATAAGCACTCAAATATTAATTATGCTTTGTAACAATAATCATAGCATATTGTAGGGTTTTTAAATTACTATATATATCTTAATACTTTCATCATTGTCACTGATGGTTTTTTGGCCATTGCTGAAGTAATAAAAGGGAATCACATGATTGCACTATGATCAGTATAAACTAAAAAGGTCAACGCATGAAGGATATTGTGAATATTGTTGGAAATCGATATGGATATTCATGCTCATGACTGCTTATAATGATAATTAACCAGCACCATAAGCAGATTAAAACGCATTGCATATTTTTTTTAAATAAACATGTATCTTTATCATGTATAATTGACATGGGCAACAAAGTGTTACCAAAGTTATTGTTTTTTAATGACATGATGGTAATGTTTGAATCCTAAAAGAATAATAAAGGAATAACACTTTGGAAAATGAATTGAGAGCTGCAGGAGAAATGTCACGATATGTTCTTGATTTAAATGTTTTAAGAAATACATTTGAATTTCAAAATATTAGTCAAACCATTGATACCATAAATTCTAGATAAATATCATCTAATTAAGTTCATAAACAACAACCAATGAGCTTGGATAATATTTATTTGATTATCTTAGCTAAAGCTAGAAAGTATTTTTCCCCGATTAATCTGTTTGTGTTTGAATAATTTTCCTTTCAAACTATGAAGGCCTCCAGGCGTCTCTGCAGGGCAGAGTCGGCCGACAGGAGCCAGCAGTCCAGTGTCAGGGGGGGGGAAATACTGTAGTCAGCAGCATTGTCCCTGGAAAACAAAGACAAAAATAGTCATATACTTGTAATAATAATAATACTGATAGATAGATAGATAGCTTTTTATTAAAACCAACTAAAATATACCTGGTAACGTCATTCTCCTGGTCTTTGATCCTAAGTTTTGTGGTGGGAGTTTGTGGCACCTCCTCATAAACTGGATTCAGAGCTGGACACAGAGTGCAAACAATTAGGGAAGATAGCTGGCCTTCAAGGACACATTGCAGCAAATCATACAAAAATGTCATAATTTGTACCCACCTAAAATTCCTTCAGCGCTGTCCGATGACTGCTGTCTTAAAACGGGCCAGAGGAATGATTGAGCGTCCTTTCCCTGAATTAAGATGACCAAGTGTGTGTCCCCACCAGCAACATCGATGTCCTTGTCCCGCCTAATAATTGTCCAACTAGAAAAAACATGCAGCTTGTCTTAATTTCTTTCAGACTTGTTTTGCATGGAAAAGTTTAATATTTAAGGAAATATGTTGAAATATGAAAAACAAGAAGGCAAGATTCCTGCCATTACTACGTAGAGTCACCTTCCAGCTGTGATGGGATCCTGTCCAGTGTGGTGTGTCATTCTCGATCCCTCTATCACGGTGATTTTATTGACTTCAACATCAACATACAGGTCAGCGTTGAGCTGGATGACAATCCTTGTGAAGCCTCCATTCGTTACTGAATCAAGCTCGCCGTGTACAGACAGCTCTGATACAAAAGAGAAACAATTTAACTCAACTCAATATCACACTGTTATCCTTACTGTACACATATCTTTCACTTTAGTAAAAGTACCAGTACATTAATGTCATTATTGTTTTCATATCAATAAAGTGAGGTACAATATATGCTACCCAAATGTGGGAAAGAAGTATAAAGTCACATTAAATGGAAATACTCAAGTAAAGTACATGTACCTTAAACATGTACTTAACCCTTAGATGCACGAGTGACTGGACCCTACACTCTTCCATAAGTGGGTCAAAAAGGACCTGTATTAGAATAATATGTGTTTTTATGCAATTTTTGTCATTTTGGTTAAGAAAAATCACTTGTATAATATTTAGTATTATATTTTGGTTCACACTAGAAATATTTTATATTTAATTTTTCACTATTTATAATTTTAGAAAAAAAAATTACATTTTGAAAGAAAAAAGAAATTCCATAGAAAATGCATGCGGGTCATTTTTGACCCACTTATGGAAGCTTGGGGTAGTAATACAAAAACTACGATTTCTTAAAATGTATAACATTTAAATTAAAAATTTGAATGGCATGATATCCAAAACATGTTTTTTGAGGAATAGCTGGAATATGAAATGATAAAAAAATGGAATTACAAAGATACTCTAAGAAAACCACTTATGCATCTAATGGTTAAGTAAAGTACTTGAGTCAATGTACTTAGACTTTCCACCACTGCTAAATTGACTTGACTTTAAGTATCAAAAGTAATACACTGTACTGCAGCCCAGTGGTACTCCCTGGGGCCAAAAGATGTTGTGAGACATTTATATTTAAATGAAGTAACCAGAGGTGGGAAGTAACTATACATTTACTCAAGTACTATACTTAGGTACAATTTAGAGAAACTTGTACTTTACTTGAGTATTTCCATTTTTTGCTACTTTGTACTTCTACTTCTGTTTTTTTACTCCACTACATTAATGTCATACCTTTAGTTACTTTGCAGATCTGGATTAATGATGTGAAATATTATCAACTCTTAAATCAGACTTTAGTGACACCTGGAGTAAATTCACAAGCTACCCTGCAGTATACAAAGTCATTCAAACTAGCTGCACCTTTACCAGCTTTGATAACACTTTTATAATTATAATCAAAACATATCATATATATTATTCTGAAATGGACCACTTGAGTAACATTTTGAATTTAACTTGTAACAGAGTATTCCTACACTCAGATAGTAGTACTCAGATCTTGTACTTGAGTAAAAGTAGAAGTACCACTACAGTACTTGAGTGAATGTACTTTGTTACTTCCCACCACTGCAAACTAAGGGTGATCATGGGTTACACTATACACACAAAAGGAGGAGAAAGAAATAAGTATTTTCTTTTACACATAGGGAGAAAAAAAGCAAACTAATAGAGGTTTACGATTAGGCTTTTAAAGATATGTAAGTGAAATAGTGAAGGCACAGAGAGGAGCTTTACTGACCGCTGGTGGGATGGTGAAGTAGTTTAAGGCGAACGTCTCCAGTGACATCAAAGCAGAGTGGAATTGACTGATTCTCAGTTTTTAGCAGAAACCGATGGGAAACAGGAACTAAAGAATAATAAAGGATAAGGAGAGTCACACAGTTGAAGGAAACACTTGTCGTGAGAGTAAATATGATGCCCTGAATTATAAACTCATTCATAATGATTGTCCAAATATGACATGTGGTGATCAGTACACTTTTGAGAGAAGGTAAATACAGCTGTGGCTGTGAAGCACTGACTTTTAGCACTTATTTTACACATATTGAAACATTCCAGTGTAAACCAAATTATCTTAGTTAACTATTTTGTAATTATATACATTATTATGAATAACATCTATGAGAAACTCAACTGTTATCTGTTGCCGGCACAATGGTGGCATGAACTTGAGTAGGTGCTACATCAACTGTAAATGACATTTAAACAAAGTCAGTTACATATATTCACATTACACACATGTATAGAAATGGTGTAAATCTAACAGAAAAAGCATTAATCGATACACGCATTCTGACACATAACCTCAGCCTTAAAACAAACCACTGCATAAACACATCATATTAATCTTGACCTTAATCTAACACAGAACACACACACACACACACACACACACACACACACACACACACACACACACACACACACACACACACACACACACACACACACACACACACACACACACACACACACACACACACACACACACACACACACACACACACACCACACACACACACACACACACACTCTACAACCAACCAAACAACAAACATCTGAATAAACACATTGTCCAGCCTGTGTGAAGCTGACATGAAACAACATACAGCATACATTCTGAGAAAATCGTCTCATTCCATGCCTGTGTTTAACCAAAATGAGCAGAAAAACTCTGGTAATGCACTGCCTGAAGGATTTTTAGGGTGGTTGTACAAAACGCAAAGGATGGATCAGAATTGGAACAAAGAAAAGTTTACCTTGAGCATGAAACCCTAACCCTAACCCAACCAAAGGAACAGTATGGTCGTGTTGTGTCATTGTTGGATCTGTTGAACGAACAGTAAAGACATTTTTGAATTGAACATATTTAGTTGGATTATAACACAGTACATTAAGGAAGAACTGCTAATTAACTAGTAGAACACATCCATCAAGGCCAGGTGAGATACATAAAACCCCCACCATGTTTATGGCCGGCCATCAGCTAAGATAAGACATCCTTGTATGACCTCACTGCTACAACATTTACTCATTACACTGATGAACCTTTGTCCTAAATATATAAATAAATAGACCTTGCCCTGGTCCTAGTTCCACACATTGGGGAGTCATAGGAAAAAGGGACAATATCATGAAAATGTGATACAGTAATTATTTTTTCTCTTAAATAATCAAGATTTGATAAATAAGCACCCAGCTGTACCCACCACTCGCAGCATAATTGAAAACAATTAAAATAACTAAATGTACTCATCGTGTCTAATCTGAAATGTATGCAGTATATGAAATTGAAATTATTATTATTAAACAATTGTGTATGTAACAATGCTGAAGATGTGTACCTGTACCTTGTTTATAGGAAAAGGATGATTACACTTATTTATGATGCAGTTGTTCAAAAACTTTGAAATGGTGATGATTTGTAAATTAGCTTGCATCCTCCCAAATGTGTCGTAAACAGTACGTTTAGATAAACTGAAAATGAAACTGGATGTTCATATATTGTGGCTCAACTTTAATAAGCAGAAATATGAAAATGTGTAGCAAGTATTTCTCATGTAACTTTTTGATTGTTACCAAAAATGTATGAAAACGAGTATAAAATATAAGACATTATTAATTAATCAATACAAATCACGATGCGGCTGTTAATTTATTTGGAAAGAAAAAAAACATGCACCTTCCTCCACCCTCAGTTTTTGATATTCATCAAGTAAACCATTTTTAACCATTCAACATGTATTGTGAAGAATCTGAATATTTGCAAATAGAGATAATTGATGCTGCAGGTTATATTATATGAGCTATACATAATTATTTACAATAAATGATTAGTGTACACACACACACACACACACACACACACACACACACACACACACACACACACACACACACACACACACACACACACACACACACACACACACACACACACACAGTAACGATAAAATGTGTAGATTCAAACCGTTTTCAAACACAAGTAATGTGACCTGAATTTGGTGTAAAGTTTATACCAAGGTGCATAACAGAGGTCATTCATTTGTTTGATATATCCTCCTATAATGTGTTGTCTTTCTTCACTCTTTGTTTTATGGGGCGAAGCCTGCGAGCTAGTTCAGGCAGTCAACTCGAGCACTTATGCTGCATTCATACATAACGCCCCCTTGCCACTCTACAACCAACCAAACAGAGTCTCCTTATGCCGCTCTATTTAACCTGCCAGATATCTCTATGCATTGCTAGCTGCAGCTACTTCCACGTCGCTGCTGCTTGCCTGCCCCACCACCACCCCAGCTTCTACCTGTAGGCTCGGGGTTAGTTATTTAATCATCACTCATCGTGCTATGTATGTCTGTGGAGTGATGAGGCCGAGCCTAGACGCCAAACTCAACTATATGCTGCTTCTAATAAACATGTTAAAGAAGTACGTGAGTTGTCTGACTGAACTGATGCAAATGCTGTGATGGTTTTCAGCAGCTGACTTTGACATGTTTGTCTCAGTCTCACATGATTTGAAGAACATTGTAGCAAAAAAACATTTGTTTAAACAAGTGACATGTAATGTTTTCATATCAATTCTACCATGAATGATATATTTGAGAAACTCAGCTGTTAGGTGATAGCATGGTAGCCTCTTCAAGATCTTCAATATCGGAGGTACCAAGTGAATCCATATCTAAATAAAATCAATTTAAACAAATTCAGTTACATATCGATGTGTGACAATTTTAAGGATGTTAATTGAAGAGAAAAGTGGGTTAATTGACACCCCTAATCTGACACCCAACATCAGCCTCAAAACAAACATCTGAATAAACACATTGTCCAGCCTGTGTGAAGCTGACATGAAACAACATACAGCATACATTCTGAGAAAATCGTCTCATTCCATGCCTGTGTTTAACCAAAATGAGCAGAAAAACTCTGGTAATGCACTGCCTGAAGGATTTTTAGGGTGGTTGTACAAAACGCAAAGGATGGATCAGAATTGGAACAAAGAAAAAGTTTACCTTGAGCATGAAACCCTAACCCTAACCCAACCAAAGGAACAGTATGGCCGCGTTGTGTCATTGTTGGATCTGTTGAACGAACAGTAAAGACATTTTTGAATTGAACATATTTAGTTGGATTATAACACAGTACATTAAGGAAGAACTGCTAATTAACTAGTAGAACACATCCATCAAGGCCAGGTGAGATACATAAAACCCCCACCATGTTTATGGCCGGCCATCAGCTAAGATAAGACATCCTTGTATGACCTCACTGCTACAACATTTACTCATTACACTGATGAACCTTTGTCATAAATATATAAATAAATAGACCTTGCCCTGGTCCTAGTTCCACACATTGGGGAGTCATAGGAAAAAGGGACAATATCATGAAAATGTGATACAGTAATTATTTTTTCTCTTAAATAATCAAGATTTGATAAATAAGCACCCAGCTGTACCCACCACTCGCAGCATAATTAAAAACAATTAAAATAACTAAATGTACTCATCGTGTCTAATCTGAAATGTATGCAGTATATGAAATTGAAATTATTATTATTAAACAATTGTGTATGTAACAATGCTGAAGATGTGTACCTGTACCTTGTTTATAGGAAAAGGATGATTACACTTATTTATGATGCAGTTGTTCAAAAACTTTGAAATGGTGATGATTTGTAAATTAGCTTGCATCCTCCCAAATGTGTCGTAAACAGTACGTTTAGATAAACTGAAAATGAAACTGGATGTTCATATATTGTGGCTCAACTTTAATAAGCAGAAATATGAAAATGTGTAGCAACTATTTCTCATGTAACTTTTTGATTGTTACCAAAAATGTATGAAAACGAGTATAAAATATAAGACATTATTAATTAATCAATACAAATCACGATGCGGCTGTTAATTTATTTGGAAAGAAAAAAAACATGCACCTTCCTCCACCCTTAGTTTTTGATATTCATCAAGTAAACCATTTTTAACCATTCAACATGTATTGTGAAGAATCTGAATATTTGCAAATAGAGATAATTGATGCTGCAGGTTATATTATATGAGCTATACATAATTATTTACAATAAATGATTAGTGTATCTTTCATGTCAGAAAAGGGCAGATGTGTAACTACATCTTACCTGATTGAGTAGAGAATACTGAGAATACTGTTAAACAGAAAAAGTTATGATGCAATTTACAATACAGCTGTTAATTTACTTTGAAATACTTAAGTATTCACCCTCAGTTTTTTATATATATTTTGTATAAATACACCAGAGCAGTGCAGACGTTCATGTCTTACCTCTCCCAGCTGTTAAAAGGAAAATATGATAAAGAAAAAGTTATTATACAAATTCAAAACAGCTGTTAATTAACTTTGAAATAGTCAAGCATGCATCTCCCTCCACCTCCCTCAGATTTTGTTTTACAAAACATTAACTAGTGTGTCTATTGAGTTTTTTTAACATGATTGAGAATTTATGCTTTTTTCATACAATGACAGCTATTTATAATTATAATAATTATAAGGAAATAAGGTGTCCATCATGTCAGAGCAGTGCAGATGTCTTACCTCGCCCAGCATTTAACTTTGTAAGCCTTGAGCCTGAGTCTGATGCTGAGCCTGATGCTGAGCCTAAGCCTAAACCTGTCAAGGAAAAAAAGATGATAAAGAAAAAGTTATTATACAAATTCAATACAGCTGTTAATTAATTTTGAAATAGTCAAGCATGCATCTCCCTCCACCTTCAGTTTTTGTTTTACAAAAAATGAACTAGTGTTTCTAGTTGATTTTTTAGCATAATGTTAAAGAAATAATCATGATTGAGAATTGATTCATGTTGCACAACGACAGCGGTTTATAATTATAATAATGAAAAGGAAATAATGATCTATCATGTCAGACCAGTGCAGATGCACATTCAAATCTTATTATAAAATTGATGATACTATTATAAAGGAAAATATTATAAAGTTATTATACAAATTCAAAACAGCTGTTAATTAACTTTGAAAAAGTCAAGCATGCATCTCCCTCCATCTTCAGTTTTACAAAACATTAACTATTGTTTCTACTATTATAAGGTAATAGTGTCATGTCAGAAAAATGCATATGTTTATATCTTACCTCGTCCATCTGTTTAAAAGGAACAAATTATAAAGATAAAGTTATTTCACAAATTACAAAACAGCTGTTAATTTACTTTGAAATACTCAAGCATGTACATCCCACAGAGTTTTTAATATTCATCAAATAAACCAGAGTTTTTCTGCTCAGTTTTTTTAGTTTTAGTTTAAAAATGTTTACTAATTAAAAAGAATGTATGCTCTGTGTACGTTATATAATAATATTAACATTGAAATCAAATCAGGTCAGAGTAGTTCAAATGCTTTCTTACAGTCCATCCAACCATAGCCTAGAGTCTGGGTGTCATCCTCGACGGCACACTTTCATTCAAATCTCACATCAGTAATATCACTCGGTCTGCCTATTTCCATCTACGCAACATCAACCGCCTCCGGCCGTCCCTTAACCCTAAGACCACCGCCATTCTTGTTCACACCCCTCGTCACTTCCCGCATCGACTACTGCAACTCCCTTCTCTTTGGTCTCCCTCTCAAATCCATCCACAGACTTCAACTGGTTCAGAACTCTGCCGCCCGCATCATCACCGTCCAGAACCCCCTCCATTAACCACATCACTCCTGTTCTTCAGCAACTTCACTGGCTCCCCGTCAAATCCCGTATCGTTTTTAAGATTCTGCTCCTCGCCTTTAAGGCCATCCATAACCTCACTCCTCTGTACCTCTCCGACCTCCTGCACATCAACACACCCATCCGCACACTCAGATCTTCTGCTTCCCTCAGCCTCACTGCACCCCCCTTCCGTTTAACCACCATGGGGTCTAGAGCCTTCAGCCGCTCTGCACCCCGCCTCTGGAACTCCCTCCCACCTGACATCCGCAACACTGACTCTCTCCCCATTTTCAAATCACGCCTCAAAACATATCTCTTCACACTCGCTTATCCACCCTGATCATTATCCATCACACATCCTCTGTTTTATTTATTTGATTTGTTGCATTGTCTTGTTTATGTTTCTTATGCTGGTGTTAGGTATTGTGTATCTTGTTTTTTATGTGTTTGTACGGCGACCTTGAGAGCCTTGAAAGGCGCCTATATAAAATAAATGAATTATTATTATAGCCATCCGCTAAAAAGGTGATAAAGAAAAAGTTATGATACAAATTACAAAATAGCTGTTAATTGATGTAAACTGTATATCATTATATTAATAATAATTCATGTCAGAACAGTGCAAATGAGTTCTGACGTGACAGACCAGGGTATGCTGTGAAAAAATACAAGATGATACAAATGAAGTTATGATACCAAACTAGTATACAGCTGATCTTTAAAACACTAAAGCATGCATCCTCCTCCACCCTCAGTTCTTGACATCAAATGAACTACAGTGCTTCTTCACATTTTTAACATAATGAAAAAAAAACATTTTGTCGGGTTTAAAAATGTATGCTGTATTCATGTTATGTCATATTTTCATAATTGTATTGATTAATAATGAATAGTGTTAGAATGAAAAGGTGAAATTGTATCTTACATGCCGGGGTTCCTGTCGAAAAGAAAGAAATGATAAAGTGAAGCAAATGTTCAGTTGTTAGTTTACTTTGGCATCTGTTTCTTGTTCATTTTTTGGTCGTGATTTCTTTTTTTCTAAAGCTTATTTAGAATGTGAAAGTGTGCAGTATATTATGAATTGGTCCAAATTACCTGGTAAACCTTGTCGTGCTCCTAAAAAGAAAAAGATGATAACATCAATTCTCAAAAACAATTGTTAATGTCATTTGAAATATTCTTGCTTTGTAGATACGTTTTCAGTTTCCTGCTTTGTCAGTTTTCAATATATTACATTACATTACATTGCATTTAGCTGACGCTTTTATCCAAAGCGACTTACAATAAGTACATTCGACCAGGAAGACACAACCTTGAAGTAAACAGAATCATATAAGTACATCAGGTTTCATAGAGCCAAACATTTCAAGTGCTACTCAACTGGCTTTAGGTAAGCCAGTCCTTTATTAGTATATAAGTGCTTTGTTAATAATTCTATCGCTCGAAGTGGAGTCGAAAGAGATGAGTTTTCATATATAGTAAACAACAACATTTTATTAAGTAAACAACATATTAGTCTGCAAATAATCAGTAGATTTACTCTTAAGACAAAATGTATATTATTCATGGGGGTCTTGTCAAAAAGAAAGAAATGATAAAGTGAAGGAAATATTCAGTTGTTAGTTTACTTTGAAAACGGACACTAATTGTTTTAAAATATTGTCAAGATTAGCATCTGTTTCTTGCTCATTTTTTGGATGTGATTATTCCTTTTCTAAAGCTTATTTATGCGAACGTGTATGAAGTACAGTATATTATTAATTGGTCCAAATTACCTGGTGAAGCTTGTCGTGCTCCTAAAAAGAAAAAGATGATAACATAAATTCTTAAAAACATTTGTAAACTTAATTTGAAATATTCTTGCTTTGTAGATACGTTATCAGTTTCCTGCTTTGTCAGTTTTTAATATATAGTAAACAACAACATTTTATTCAGTAAATAACATATTAGTCTGCAAATAATCAGTAGATTTACTCTTAAGACAAAATGTATGTTATTCATTAAAATACATCAAATTGTTAATTAATCAATATTGTTTCTATTATGTCCAATTCAGATGTATGTCTTACCAAATGTATGCATCACAGTGCCCGCTGTAAAGACAAAAAACAATGACAAAATAAACATTTGTTGGATGTTAACAAATGAGCTTGCATTGCTGCAAAATTGTCATGTCAGGGATCCTCATATCAAAACCATTATAAATCACTTAAATCATCTCTTCTGTTGCAATACACTAGTATAAACAATCAATGGTAATATTAAATTACCTGAATAAGAAACACATTTACCAACCTTTACGTTAATCAAATAAATAAATGATGGTGGATTATTTTAACAAAAAATGTATGTCCAGTTCTTTAAATTATATCTATCAATGGCATGCAAGCGCTACACCTGCCAATAAGGAATCCTTATCAAATCTAGTAACTGTATTTATACATAGTGAATACACCACCTTTTATCAAATCATGCTGTTTAGACTGACTATTTAAAAAATTGCTCTGAGAACGAAGTCTTGACACTGGATTTTGCATCGTGTTTGCTTTATTCACATTGGGTTGCTTACAATAAGCTATATTTTGATGCCTTGACCCTGTCTGTGGGGCTTCTCCTTCCTTGGGTTTATGGAGTACTTCGGTCTCCCCTCCCTCAGGCTTGGTGACCACCATGGATGTGAGTGGAGTTACAAAGCTGTACTTCAGCGACAGCTCCAAGGCCTCTCTCTTCACGTTCTCCTTCTCAGCTCCAGATAACAGCAGCCTGTGTCACAAATTGTGTTTACACATGTGAGTTGGCATGAGTATGATTATTGTAAATGAAGTAACAAAGTTGCCTTAATTAAAAAGAATAACATCATTAATTCAATAATATTATAATCTTTAAAATATGGCATGATTTAATACAGTTATTTGTATATGTTACACCAATATGCGTGAGTGTTTGTTGTTTGTTGTGCCTAGTGTTTTGTTGATGCAATGGACAACTCAACGTGGGTTGATGTATTTTATGGAAGCTCTGCTGCAGTCCGTGACAAAGTTATTCAGAAAAGGAACTTTAAAGATGAATCTCCTTTCACAACAAGCGGCCAATGAGCTATTTGTTTTATGCTTTCATTCATATTTTGTCATGTGTAGCACACTATGCTAATGTGTTTGGCTATGTATATGTGTTATTCGTTGTTGTAGTTCTCACGGCGTAACGGAAGAAGGGAGGCTACAAGATTAAATGCCAAGAATAAACGCCCATTTCAAAGAACCGACCTGTGTCTGTGTAGTGAAGAGAGCTACAATTACTATAACTTTATGTTTTGCTAATGTTGTTGTTTTTTGCCTTCACCTACAAGTAATGTTCCCACATACATTTTACCACCGTTTTAGTCAACTTTTTTCTTTCTGCAACAAGTGCTGAAAAGATTTTTGATGATAGTTGATCAATCATGTCAGTGTTAGCATTAATGTAAAGGAGCTATATGTTCATCGTAATTTCTTTCCACTGCAATCGACTAGAAATGAGAAGTATTTTTCGTTTACTTTACCTGTGGTATCAATAATTAATATACCGTGTATTTTTAAGTTAAAATATTACAAGTTACATGTTTGCCTTGTCTTTGTGGCCCACCTATGTACTGTTAGTATATGTATAAACACAGACTGTTACATTATTGTTTTCAAGTTGGATATTTATATGAGGTAAAGCAAAATGTCTAATTAAATTTACTGCTGCTCGTTTTCCGTTGTATTGTTAATTTTATTTGTGTTTACTCTGATATATACTTTGCATTTGAGTTTTGAAGTTTAATGTATGGACTGGGCACAGCTGCAAATGAATTGCAAGTAGATAAATACATTTGTCTGAATCTAAGGAGGAGGCAGCAAGAAAAAATGATGGTCGACATGACACTCACTCTTTCTTCAGAAGCTGTTTGACCGTGAGATAGGCCCAAACCCTCTGGATGTGGTCGGCAGACTCTGTTCCAGTGGACTCCACGGTGCCGTTGGGGTTAGAAAACGTCATCTTTTTACTGCTCTGTCATAGTCCAAATGAAGTAATATGTCAGCATATACACAGGAACCTTTCAACAACCTTTCAGAAGATTACAGATGGTGTGCAGTGCGAAGCAATTCTTACTGAAATTGCGATGACTTGTGGAGTGAAGGTTCCAATGTCGTTGTCAGTGATCTTACCGGCCACCACAATCTCTGATCCGTTATAATACTGGCTGAATTCAGTCTGCGTCAGATTGGTGCCACCATTATAGCTCATAGTCACATCGATCAAAAGAGGAGTGGCCACCTCTTCGTAGAAACCCTGTTGACATGCAGTATGTACAATGTATAAATGTGTAATTCTCCACATCCAACCGTTATCATTTTCTCTATGGAAATGCATCAAATAACATTGTCACATTTACAATAAGAGCAACTGATCGCAAATACCTTCAGCTGTAAATCAGCATCAGAGTCTTCATAAATCCGTCGTGCCACACCATTGTTCTGCAGCGACATCTTCTCAAGGAACTCAAAATTTACATCAAAACCAAAACCGAGACAGTAGAGTGGGAATTTGTCCGCAATAGCCACCCTGACATTTGACTGGATTTCTTCAAGATTTGTCACCCCTGCAAAGACAAAGGACATTCGGCTAAATAAGACCAATCCACTCAGACGTTCCAATCCAACAACTATCCTGTGACTAGTCAAAGTTATCGATGGTGAGGGTGCACATTTCTTAAAGCTAATTGATAATAAACTTGACTTGCTATTTGTGTTTTAATTTCCATGATGTTCAATATCCCACAAGAGTAGGTCATAGCTTGGTGATAGGAGAGGATATGGAGAAAATGACTGCAGGGGAATCATTTTTAAAATGATGGACTGTGTCACATGGGACATGGGTCCTTATAAAACATGTTTGAAGTATTTGCTTGTGTTTATGTGCAAGAATGTGCAAGAACCGGTTGTTGGGTCTCCATCAGTGAGAAGAATGAGGATGGATGCTGAATCTTCTCTCGGATGTGCGTTGAGCATACTGGCTCCTTCCAACACTGCACTGTTGATGTTTGTGGCTAAAAAAACAAACAATTGTATCACAACCGTTCTGCTGGGATATGTTTTCATCCCTTCATAACATTTTAACTAAAATCCTTACATCCACTTTCTCTAATATCTTCTGAAAATATTTTGGCACTCTCCAGGTTTCGCTGGTTGGCTTGAACAAGTTCTCGTTTCCAGTAAGAAATGCTGCCATCAAAAGTGATAAGACCAAAGTGGTCATCCTCTGACAGGTCGTTCAAGATGTGGATTAAGGCTAACCGGGTCTGTGCAAAAAACATAATTGACAGATCAAGACTTTTATTCAAGTATAAAACTATGTAATATGTTGTGTTTCATTTGTGTCTATATGTATATAATAAAGAGTTATGTCTTACTGATATGAGCAATATGTCACAAACTCACATTCTTCAATTACTTTACCTGACGAATTTTTTTGCCGTGCATTGAGCCACTTCGATCGATCAAGAAGACAACGTTTTTTGATATGGGGGTAAGACTAGATGGGGCAAAGTGATGAACAAAGTACCCGGCTGAAGTCTTGGGGGAGGAAAGAAGAAAGTTTGATTGTGATAAAATATTGTTGAACCAACAGGGGATGGTAAAATATTTTTTTATTTCAGTATGTATAGTGGTTTTCAAAAAATAAATAATAGACCATTTAAAGTTTTCCAGAACGTGAACTATTGCTTTACCTTAATGTCTCCCAGTCCACTGTCCCTATTGACATCGTAAACAATAACCAGATCTCCATTCATTCCCTGCTCTCCACAGCTGGTACACGTTTTCTGTTGGTCTTCTGTTGGGTAGAAGTTCACCCACACCTGGAAACAGGAAGGAGAAGGTTTTTACAGACTTTTTATTGACACAGAAGTTGATGAGCAGGTTTTATTCTTCAAAAAATCCTCTACCTCTTGTTAAATGTGATAAGACTGAAATCTAATCACTGCATCACACTACTGGAACAACAATATGCAGTTTAAGGCGAGACACGGCAGGCAAAAACATCGTTTTTCAAGTAGCCTACTGGTCAATTTTGAGATTTTGTGCTATTTTGATTCCATAACATGTTTTCTTTCAGGCTTTTGGAAGGAAAACGTACAAAATACACATTTAAGTGTTTATTTTACTATAGTTTGTCTATTTGCGTCTGGAGATTTCTCCTAAATTCACCAAAAGTTAGCATTCTAACGTAACATAAAGTACCGCGACCGCTGTGTGCACCATGTCATCAGAGATATCGTTAAAAAGCTGTGTCTCTCCTGCACAATCTCATCGGATCCAAATATGGTCATTTCCTTTGTATCAGCAACCAATCGTGAAAGCACAAAGGGGTCTTAAACCAAGAAACGAAATCTCATTGGCTGGTGTCAATTTCTGACAACGTGATTCGTTCAGATGCGTCACGTGGTGTGCTAAAACACTTCCTGGTTAGCTTTCCGCTAGAAATTGAAATCTCAAAATGACAAAAGAACGGCGAAAAAAACGTTCACAGAGAAGACGACAACAATTGTCACTTGTACGAAGCAAGGTTATACAAAAAACAAATGACCCCGAACATGAAATACCTTCACGGAGTGCGCCGATGCGCAAGCTGTCATCCAAAGAACAGGAGGGTTTAGCTAGCGCCTCACTGCAATCTTTAAAGGTCGTTTTCTCAAAATGAGTTTTTTCTCCTACTCTGAGTTTGAAATTTCAACTTCAGTAGCACGTACATACACCAAACCTTCCAGTTATATTCCTATCAATATCATGAAGGCTTTTACAGAAGGGTTTGTTCTTATATCATTGATTCATAGCCTGAATTATACAACACTGTATACCTAAAAACATGGCGAAAATTGATATTTTAGGGCTGTTGACAGTATTTTCTAATTTATGGAGTGATAAAAAGAGATATCCAATATTCCTTTTGTAAAAGCCTTAAATACTAATATGACTACAACATGAAACAAGAATTTTGAACCTGGCTTTATCCAAAGTTCAGATTTCGATTCCTGAAATGTCTTAAAATATGTGCATATTTAATGAGATAATGGATAATTGGCATATTTAAACATGCTATTTCAGAAAACGTGTAATACAAAAAGCAATTGTCTTATTGTAAGTAATTAACTGGAGAAATTTCTAGCTGATACCTTTAAGTTAAACAAATTACCCTATTCACCTGGGGTGTCTCGCCTTAAGATCAAACCAGAAAAAGACAAATGTTGAAAAAGTGCAACAGTAGACCTATAAAAATAGAAAATTATGAGCCATATGACAGAATGTATAATGTACATTGCCATTATATATGTAGCTAAATGGTTAAATATAAATCATAATAAAGTCAAATCTGAGTTAAATACAAAAGTTCTAATCACTGCTAAATCCCATTGGGACATTTAAAGAATGTCCCAAATTGGGATCAATACAGTACTATCTTATCTTATGATGTACCTCATTGTCTGCATGTGTTTTGTTGATGGCATCAGCCAGGGCTAGTCCTCCTTTAACCTCAACGAAATTGATGCCCGATTTCTCGTGAATGTGCACATCAACCTGGCAAAATGAAATACATTAAAATAGTTAGAAGTAGTGAACATGCTAAATGTTTTGCCGCACTATTGTTTTCCAGAATAGATCAAGGGAGACCCACTTTAAAGCTTTTCACAGGCTGCATGGGTCGAGCGTGGATTTGCAGCTCGTACTTTCCAAGCCTGCGTTTCAGCAGCTCCTCATATGTAAGTTCAAAGGTGACCTTTTTGTGAGCAGCCACAGTCACAGAGGTCTTAAATTCCTCCAGGGTCCTCCCTACAGAACTGCAATGAGATGATCAACTTTGCATTAAAACAGTGGTTTCCCCCTCGGTCTTGTGTACAATTTAAACAAAAATAATATGTATAAACCCTAATCACAGGTTATAACATTATTGTGGGTGTAACATTAGATCAACCAAAGGTGAATATTTCCTTCTCAGATTGTTTCATTTGAAAGACTTTACAGCAAAGATGTTTAACACATTTTCATACAAGTCATACAAAAATATGTTTTTTCCGTCGTTCTCGAGAGGACACACATAGGCTACCATCTAAAAGACCTGTCAAAAACGTGATCTGTTGTACCTGACAAGTCCGGCGCTTTGTCCGCGGGACACAGCCTCAGTGTACTGCTGCCTGGCTTTTTCTTTACCTTTCACAACGCCATCGTACACTTGGCCATCAATAAACCTGAAGAAGACCAAGGGAAATGTGTCATTTTTATGCGTAGTACTCTTTAGTAGCCTGAGATTTATTATTTTTATTCTGTGATGTAAAATCATTTCTGTGCAAATTCCTGTAAACATGTTTGCCTAACACACATTCTAAATTTGCTGATGAAGGCGTTCTTGGGAATCCGGACGTGGAACTCTATCTCCTTTGACTCGTCCATACGATTGGCCATGCGGCTCGTGATGACAGTGGTTGCGTAACGACTGGTCACTGTGGAGTTGATGTGAAAGCTGTAGATGTCCCAGTTGTCCTAAACAAATAAAGCAGGAGGAACATTTCAATAAATTGAATGGCTTGGTTAATCATGTTGGCTCAAGACCAGCTGACCAAAGATCAGGTCATGGTGAAAATCTAATAGTTGATGGCATCATAAAAGTCTTGTTGGGCTAACTAACCCGCTCTTATTCTTATTTTGTTTTGTTATTTTGATTACACATCACAACAATCATGAACAACATCAAGGGGTCCATCTTTTGTGCTTAAAATGTGACCCCCAACTGTGTTCACATATTTACTGCCCAACAGTATAAGTAATACACATTCACAGGGCCATCCCTCCCTACAGGCCGATCACGCAGACTGCGTGGGGCCTCACCTTGCGGAGGGGGCCTAATCTTGCGGAGGGAGCCGAAAATGTGGCGCACTTATGCGGCACAATTAGTTTGACGCGGCACGGTTTCGCCGCTGCGAGGCTCCACTAGCAAAATAAAGATAAATATGATATAGGGTGAGTTGCCCTAATGTGGGACACGCCCTAATGTGGGACACCTAAACTCAAATGGGTGTAGGTCTTCCGCAAACAAATGAAAGTCAATGAAACTACGGGATAACACAAGCTGTGATGTCATGCGATCAAAATCACATGACTTCTCAAATGTCCAATCACAGATGAGGGTGGAAAAACCTTCAAACAGGAAGTACCCTGTGTGAAGACCACCCAAAGTGTTTTGACAAATGTAATGTTAAGGTTTTAAATTTCGTATAAATAAAACAATCTTGCAAGTTTTTATCAGGATGTGTTCATGATATGTTTGTTCATCAGAACATATTATAATATGGTGTAAATATACTCTATATTTTTTATTTCAATCAAATGTTCCATCGTCCCACTTTAGGAAACATGTTTCGCAAAGTGGGACAGTATGATTTGCCTAATGTGGGACAGTTCTAAAAGGGGCATGGATTGTGCAAGAGCAATGGTTATTTACAGGGTTTTAGTCTTCTAATGCATTATTTTAGATATTTAAGGTGAAGGGCAAATCATATTAAATAATTGGGGGTATCTGGGGCTTAATTGGGGGTAATTGGGGGGCTCTGTTAACATGGTATGACAAAGTCAGGGATAATGTTAGGGATAAATGTCTGAGTTTAAAAGATGGCAATTAATTTAAGCCCAAATATTCATAGTAATTTAATAAATCCTTCCAACACACGTTGTAAAAAATAGCCTAAGTTAAGAAATCATTCCAATAGGTCAGTAAAAAAAAAAAAAAAAAAAACAGTTTAAAAGGGGAGTGATTAGTCGAATATGTATACATTAAAAAGAAAGAATGCAGACTATAGGTAAGATAAAGATAGGAGAGAGGAGTTTATCAAATATGTTGTATTGGTTGTGAGCATATTCTAATGGTTTTTGGATTATTGTAATACAGTTCTGTTTCATATGAGTGTTGAGAGCTGTATCCATAAATCTCTTAATGTAGCTCTCAAAGTGCACCAGATTTATGCATTTAACTTAAATGTGGTTTGATTAGGACACATCCTGGGGATTTCAGAATGGTACTGGATTTTGATTTATTGTATCGGCTTCATATCGCAATATATTCCCGAAGTCTGAAATGCAAAAAATGTCCCACATTAGGTCAATTCACCCTAGTCAGTAAAATGTATGATCTACAATAAAATATTGATTGAAATTGTGTTACGAAGAAAGGGGTGGTTTGGGTCACGTCAAAAGATGAGTCTCGATTGGGCCAAAGTTGACCCAGAGTCACCCACAACAGTTCAATGCACTGCTGGGGCTTCCCGGACCCGAACACCAAATTATACACTTTTTTTGACAGAGAACTTCAGGTAAAATGGTCAAAATCAGTTTTGCTATGTTAATATAGTTGTTGTGGAGGTCATCATGAAGCCTTTTTCCAATTAAAAAAAACTAGAGAGATATTATACAATTGTTGCTTGAAACGGGTCACGGCAGATCCAAAACACAACACAAGGGTTAAGCACATATCAGAAAAAACTAAAAAGTATGAACAAACTAGAGTCCACATGGATATTGCTATGCGACTTGCCATGTTTGGGAAATTAAACATAGCTGTCCAACTCAATGAAAGCTACAGGAAAAGAGATCAGTAAGCATAATAAGGAGGTTCTTATTCCCTTCTCAAATAATAGACTGTATCAAGTTCTGTGGTGCTTTTGAGCTAGCCCTGCATTGTACTATGATGACATATGTTTTTACTTTGTGTAAACGTTTGCTTACATTTTGGAATAGCCCCCCCCCCCTAGAGAAAAAAACTGCTGCCATTGATTAATTAAATTACAAAAAATCCCTAGATGTTCATACTTAATAGATGTATTCAATAGATTGAGTTTCATTGCAGTGGCATGCTCTGTTCTATTAGGTTTTGTGTCCTCACCTTGTTCGGTTGTGTCGCAGCCAAAGCCAGCAGCAGCCCAAAGAGGGTGATTTGCAGCACAGCTCTCTCCATGATGGCTCCCAGCAGAATGAAATGCTCACAGATCAAACTGTCCTAAATAGACATGGACAACATGATGTGTATACACATTTATTTAAAAGGTCGAACTCCGCTTTCTCTCTCTTGTATCAACATCTCCCACACACAACCCCCCACCCCCACACACACAAACACAAACTGTCCCCTACATTCCATTCCCATACTGCCGGGAATGGGACACAAAAATAAGCTTCACTGCTGCCCACAGCTTACAATGCAAACTCAGACAACATTAGACAATTTAGGTTCATATGTTCACAATGCACTGAAAATAAAACAAGTACAAGACTAATATTGTATGATGTCAAGCAAATATTAATTTATTATATAAGTATATACAGCTTTTGTGAAATAGTACCAATTTTGGAAAACAGGTGATACAGTGGGCGAAAGGAACCATACACCTAGCTTGCTTTGAAAGCATTAAAGAGATCAAATACATGTGAAAAGCACAAAGAAAAAGCTACATAGGAGACGTTTTCATGAAAATAATAATAATCCATAAACCATCATGGAAGAAATTATACCTTTAAGACAAAATATCATCACACTGTGCAAACATGGAAAGTTTTTTAAAGTGGCACTGCAGTCGGGCAGTTCATTCATCCTAAAGAGCACTGCTTGTACTTTTGTATTATGTGGCTCTGGAAAGGTCTTTCCAAAAATTACAAAATAACCCTTATCATGTCAAAAGTCCTACTGAACAGCATTGTGGGAAATGTAGTTTTCCGTATTTCTCAAGCTTGACCCATACTCTCTCTAATATTAATATGCGAGACATTAATGAATTAGGCAAACGTATTATTCAGCAGTAGCTTTCCTAATAAAAGTTTTACAAGAGCTTTAAGTATTGGAAGTGAAAGTGATGATTGAGGCTGCACTATTGAAATAACTTAAAGCATGACAGTGTAATATTTGTTGGAGATCTTTGAGTTGATTCTGCCATATACATAATTAGCTTTATAAGATGATCATGTGAGGCTAGCGTTGGATAAACATCATCTAGAAAACCTATGCATTGTCATAATAAAATGTCAAACAGTTGTGGCTTCTCATCTATTCATATTCTTTATGAGCCTCTCACATCATCATATCATCAATATGTATCAGACAACAACCAATCACAAAATAATTTCTGTAAAACCACAAAGGCAACCATATGTAAAGCTACAGACGGCATTAGAGGTATGGCATGACAATGACTTTGACTCAAGGTTGAGTCCTTCAGCCCTCCTTGTTGTATTGTTTCAATGCTAGTTTCTCTTTATAACATCCTCTTGAAGCAAACCACATCAACCTGTGCACATTCAGAATATCAGTGTATTCATGCAGGAGGTGGAAGGTTGTAGAGCAAATCCCACAAATAATTACTTCAGTGAACAAGGTTTAGTTTTACAATCTGTGATATTTTATGTCTCAACATGACCAGATAAAAGTATTTTTTTATGTTGTGTTGCTAAATTAGATGTGAAATTCCACATGTATTATTCAAATCACATCAATTACCTTTGGAGGTTAAAGCATATATAGAATATCTGGTATCTGCTTTGAATCTAAAAGCTTCTCTTCATAAAACTGAAACTTCATTTCAAGGCACTCTCACAGGTGTTTTTCCACATGAAGATAAAATTCAAGTTCATTCAAATCTCTTAAAGATATTTCAAGCGCTTGTGCTGGAAGCATTTCATCGATGAAGAATGAAACCTACCCTTGGACTGAGAGCAGAGTAAAGCAACCGGTCCTAGTGACCAGGATGTCAAGTCTTCACAGTGACGGCATGATGGTGGCTAATGAGGTGTTGCATTAAGACACATATCTGCAGCACCGAGCAATGGATTATCTGATGTTATCTGTACAAACACAGAGGCTATGTACAGAGTAGACTCACAATGATTCATATACACACAACCATAGAGGTGATATGAGCAAAAAAACATGAACTATTTATATAAACGTATTATTAATGAACAGTTCATTGTATACATTTAATGAGTGGTAAGATACATTAATAAGCTAAGACAAAAATGTACTATTTTTAGCCCGATTGGTTTTATTAGGCTTCTTTACCTGTACTACTGCCATTACACTGCACTGAAGGATTATACTGCAATATGGACATGAGGTATGTTGATACGAAATAACCAAATCACTTTAAACTCAAGAGTGGATATGAGTATGTACATATGATACACATGCTGGTTAAATATATATATATATATACATACAGTATATGCACATAAGATTGACTAGAACTATAGTGAGATTTATTTTTGGTAACGGAGTTGGAAGACACAATGCTACTTAGGTTACAGAGTCCTGGCTTTTGGGTCCGGCGTCTGATATGATGGAGCTGAAGTCGGGCTGGGGACGTCCTGGGATGAGCATACAGCAGGAAAGGCAAAGGCTCCTGAAGGAAGAGGAAAGAGCAACCCAGGCCACTGGCTAACAGAGAGAGGCGAGGACACGGCCCTGAAAGCAGCAGGAGAGCGAAGCTGACAACTGCCATGGGGCCCAGTGGAGGGGCTGCTAATGATTGTTGACCCCGGGCTATCAGGCCAGGACAGAGAAGCACTGCAGGCCTCCGGACCTGGGGCTGTCCATGATACCTAACAGGGTCAGATAATGGGCCGATTTTTAATTTCACAATAATGATTAACTGCATGTCATAAAATACAATCAATTAGAAAGGGTTATTGCTGCCCATTACATGTAACACTTCCAGGACCAAACTGTACACTTTTATATTTACTAAAGCTAATGGGTAATTACTGTCAGTGTCAGGGAGTAATGAACTAAATATAATCAAACTAGTACTACATCGTGTGTTGTCTTAAAGGTCACCTATTATGCAAAATCCACTTTTTAATGTATTTTATACATCAACGTAATCTGTGTAAATTTCAGGAAAAAAGATTTGCTCTCTTTTTGTCCTGATCCATTTATATAAAAACCTGTCTGAAAATGAGCTGATCAGATTTTGGCCACTTTATGATGTCATAACGATTTTTTGGCTTGTGTAACCATTAGCCAATAACCAACCAAGGTATTTGGAGCCAAACACTTCAGAGACATGTTTTGTATATATCTGAGACCTATAATATATTGATGAAAAACAGTATAATAGGGGACCTTTAACATATACAATAGTTTAAAAATAATTGTAATTTCCCATAATCCTAAACTAATCAAAATGCCTAGTCAATGCGTTTTGTTCTCCACTTCAGGTTACATTATCTAAAGACAGTGGGTATATGCACAACTATCACTGTACCTCTATGATCAACTTAACTTTAAAAATATGTTTTAATCATTTTTGTTTTATATGAATGCAGAGCAAACTGGTGCACAACTAGCATGAGACTCACGTCTGAAGCACTTGTCAGCTGTCCATGTGTTCGATGCATAACCTGATTCCAGAGCTGCTGCCCACTGATGCTCAGAGAGTTGGTACCAGGCCTGTGGGTGACTATAAGCACCTCCTGGGCCCAGTCCTCCATCAGCCGCTGCAAGTCTTCAGACAGGTTGTTTTCATTGGCACTCATGGATAAGCCAGTGTATGTGGCTGTCTTGTTGTTGCTGTTATTTGCCTGAGCTTGGGCCAGTCCTGTCACCGGCTGATGAGAAGGAGGCGTGGCACCGGCAGGCGGCTGCTGGGATGGATTGAAAGCCCCTGGCCCAGCTCCAGATCCTGAAGAGACACAAATACACCCATACCATGAAATCATGTTGTTGAGTTAATTTAACCGATTGAAATCAACCCGCCTTTGAACTCATTTTAGCAAGACAGTCATTTTACGTACTGCTGCCACGCTCTTTGCCGAGACACAGACGCTTCAGTGTTGTCCCTGTAACACAAAAATACTTTATACAAATGTACATTTCCATTAGCTGGTAATAATGTTAAATAACAAGATGCAGTGCAAAACAAAGATGCTCAATACTGCCACAAAACAAAGAACCAAAGTAAAACCAAAGTAACATTCAAAGCAATCAGCCCCCTAAAATAAGTGAGTCCATTTATAAGCAAAATCATGCAAGTGAATTATCCCTATCAATGTGCATTATCAGTTTTAGAGAGATACAAAGATAGAAAGGAGAGGTTAAGAAGCAATGAGAAATTAAAAATGTTATGGCTGATTGGGGTGCATGCAGAAGTCTATTGCTTAGTAATGGTTGGTGGTAAAGTTGAATTGTTCAAATAGCATCTGTATGAGACACTTGAAATGTGAAATAATGCAAATAATTTATTCAAATTAAACTTAATTTTCCAAACCTCAACATTCTGAAAAGGGTAATAGTTAATTAAACAGGAACCGTGAGTATAAATACATATATAATAATAATATATTATAGTTAGTTCAAAATCTCTACTTTACTTTTTTACTTTCATGGGTTTGAAAAAGCCATATATTTTGCGCTATCAAAAATAAAAGATAAAAGAAAGTGGTAAGGATGAGGCAAAGCGTTAAAAACCTGGCAGTGTTGCATAATATTTGGCAAAGACAGAGAAAAATATATCAGTAAGCTGAAAGTAGAGAAATAAAGGATGATGATGACAAACAGACAAATGAAGCTATGCGGGAAGAGAAGAGGTACAAACAGATAGACAAAGACACAGGCCCACTGAGAAATCTAGCTCGTGGCTTGCTACTCGATTTATAGGTCACTCTCTCTGAAGTTTGGGGGTTATTAGACCAGCCTGTAGAGGAGTATAATCAAAGAGGGGAGAAGATAACAGGGTAAGAAGAGCACACACTGAAATACCCAACCTTATTGTAAAAATCCACAGTCATGTATTTGTTACTTATTCTCTGTTGAATATACATGTTTACACTCTTGTATTTGTGTAAAGACTGTCAGGCTAAGATGTTTGGTTGTGTGCTCACCTTGTCCCGGTGGAGCTTGTGTGCCAGTGCCGTCTCCTTGTAGTCCACCGTAAATATTATCAGAAGACAAAGAGCCCTTGAGGGAACAGGGCTGCTGAGTCTGCACAGGCTCTGGCGTTGAGCTGGGAAGGTGACTAGTGCATGACCGAGCCCTCCCTTCATGAGTGGGGAAAGACCCTTTGGCTGGAGAGCCATTTAGGCTCACTGTGGGTTCACTTGTACCTGTAGCAACAACTGAACACACACACACAG